GAAGAGGCAGATGAAGGACACATAGAGGAGATGTGGTTTCCAAAGTGGGTGATGAAGAGGTTAATTTACATTAGGAAGAAGTGCCTGAGATTGTAGAAGAGGGTGGAATGGGTTTGGAAGTGGGTGATGGTGCTGAGGAATATGATTCAGAGGGTGAATGTGTTGAGCAACAGAGTTCACATGTTAATGTACATGTAGAAGAGGTTGAAATGGGTGAGGAAGAGGAAGAATGTGATGGTGGTGAGGAACAAGATTATCTTCATGAAGAAGAGGAAGGGGGGAATGTGGTTGAGGGGGAGTTGAAGCTTCAGCTACAGCATGGCTGGATGACAGTGAAGAGGAAAGAATGGCAAATGATGATGATGGGTTTGGTGTTGGCAATGATAGGGTGGACCAAGTTCGTAGAAACATTAATCCGGTTTTGGATAGGTGGAAAAGAAGAAACGTGTGAGTAGAAGAGGCAATGTTGGGGAAGGTTCATTTATAATGAATGAAGAAGTTGGAGAGCATGACATCAATGAAGAATACAATACTGCTGAATTGGATTCAAATGTAGAAAGTGATGAGGATGTAAGGTTGAAAATGGGCAACTTTCAAAAGTATAGACAAGATGATATTGACAAGAACTTTAAATTTGAATTCGGAATGGAGTTCTGTTCATTAAAAGAGTTTAAAAATGCACTAATGGAGCATAATGTATTAAATGGAAAAGAGTTGAAGTTTGTGAAGAATGATCTGAATAGAGTAAAGGCAGTTTGCAAAAACAATCGTGGCTTTCTTATTATGGCTAGCAATGTAGGAGGGAAGGAAACATTTAGGGTCAAAACCCTGGTTGGACGACACAGATGTGGACGAGTTTTTGGAAACAAAAGTGCAAATGTAAACTGGATTGCACAAGTATTAGTAGACATGTTTGTAAATGTGGATAACATGAAAGTCAACGAAATCATTGATGGCATTAAGAAGTCGTTCAGTATTGGAATAAGTGCTTGGAAAGCTGGAAAGGCCAAGCAAATTGCTTTGGATTCTTTGGTTGGTGTGGAGAACAACAATATAGTCGTCTATATGATTATGTGGGTGAATTGTTAAGAGTGAAGTCTGGGACCTTTAAAATTAAAGTCAATCAACCCCAACCAAGTTTGTCACCAAGGTTTGGGTCATTTTATACGTGTTTAGAGGGTTGTAAGCAAGACTTCTTAGGAAGTTGCAAGCCCTTCATAGGGGTAGATGGTTGTCATCTAAAGACAACATATGGTGGTCAATTGTTGGTAGTAGTGGCCAGAGACCCCAATGACCAGTATTTACCACTAGCTTTTGCTGTGGTTGAAAATGAATGTAAAAAAAGCTGGAGATGGTTTTTGACACTACTTCTGGATGACATTGGTGGCACTGATTGTCAACGTTGGGTTTTCATTTCTGATCAACAAAAGATATTTTCATTTTCATGTTTTCCTATTATTATTTAGTAGCAATATGTTAGAATACTTAAAACCGTTCGATCCTAACTGTTTTATATTCTTCATTTCATATCCACCACTCGTCCTTCAATACTTAAGACCGTTCGGTCCTAACTGTTTTCTATTCTTCCTTTCATATCCACCACTCTCCCTTCAATACTTAAGACTGTTCGGTCCTAACTGTTTTCTATTCTTCCTTTCATATCCACCACTCGCCCTTCAATAACTAAATCGTTCGGTCCTAACTGTTTTCTATTCTTCCTTTGATATCCATCACTCGCCCTTCAATACTTAAGATCGTTCGATCCTAACTGTTTTTCTATTCTTCCTTTCATATCCACCACTCGCCCTTCAATACTTAAGACCGTTTGGTCCTAACTGTTTTCTATTCTTCCTTTCATATCCACCACGCGCCCTTCAATACTTAAGATTGTTCGATCCTAACTATTTTTCTATTCTTCCTTTCATATCCATCACTCGCCCTTCAATACGTAAGACCGTTCGACCCTCTTATAAACTTTTAGCTTCCTAACACAGTCACATTATTTAAGATTGACCAAGACATTTTGGGTTTTGTAGGGATTAATGATAGTTTTTTATGACATTTTGGATGGAGTGGAACACAGGTTGTGCTTAAGGCACTTGCATAAGAATTACAAGAAGAAATTTGGTGGAGGAGTGCTTATTAGAGATCTTATGATGGGGTCAGTTAAGGCCACATTTCAACAAGACTGGGAAAAAAATGGGTGAGTTAAAGAATGTTAACATTGATGCTTACAATTGGTTGCTAGCTATTCCAACTAAATGTTGGTGTAAACATGCATTCAGTACTTATCCTAAATGTGATTGTCATAGTCATTTAATAGTACAATCTTACTAGCAAGAGACAAACCTATCATAACTATGATGGAATGGATTAGAACTTACATTATGAGTAGGTTTGCAACACTTAGAGAAAAAGCAAAGACATATCCAGGAGATGTTATGCCTAAACCAAGAAAAAGGCTAGATAGGGAGGTTGAGAAGAGTGGAAATTGGATTCCTGTTTGGGCAGGGGCTGCAAAATTTGAAGTCACTCACGGCTTTACAATGGACAAATTTGTAGTTGACCTAAGTAACCATTCATGTAGTTGTTACTTTTGGGATTTGGTAGGAATACCTTGCAGGCATGGTATGGCTGCCATAAATTACAAAGTACAAAACCCTAAACAGTATGTACATCCTTATTACAAGAAACAGGCTTATGAAACTTGTTATCGCCTTGAAATTGTTCCAATCAATGGACAACAACTATGGTCGACTTCAGGATCTCGTGCACTGATGCCTCCAATTTACAAAACACCCCTTGGGAGGCCTAAAAAACTAAGAAGAAGGGAGGATGATGAATATGTGAGTCATAAAAAAAGAAGAATCATGTTATGAAGTGTAGCAGCTGCAATGAATTTGATCATAATGTAAGAACGTGTAAAAGGGGAAAGAAAAGCAAAAAGGTACAAAATCACTCTTTTACAACTTCATTTATTTAGACATTCATAATTATTAACACAACAATTGATTGCAATGTTGCTTACTCCATTGACAGAACACAAGGGACACTTCAAGTGTAGGGCGATCTGGTAGCAGCAGGGGAACTTCCACTACAGGAGGTTCTGAAGCACAAGCAGCTCCATCAACGTCACAAGGTGGAGGAATATCAACAAGGGAAAGGGGGACTTCTCAACCAAGAGGACATCAAACAACATCACAACCTAGAACAAGTGGTAGTGGAGGACGACCGGCATCAACTAACCAAGGTGGAAGAAGAACATCTTCACGACTATTGCCTGCACAACATCTAGGGTCCCAAGCTAGTACCAATTGAAGATTTAGTGTAACTGAATGTTATTTTTAATGTATTTTTCAAGTCATTGTCACTCACATAGGGAACATTAGTAGTGGGTACAGTCAGTTTTTATCATCTAGCAACATATGTAATTGTATGTGACCACTTAGGGAACAATAGTAGTGCTTGCACAATATTTTTTGTCAGTGGTAAGGGACCACTTAAATTACTTATCTTATTTAATAGTATGGGACC